TCGCAAGCCCCACCCACTAGCGGAAGTTGACGTCGTCGCGAGAAGGCGCTCGGCGCCCCCTTCCATCTCGCTTCCCGTTTTTTCTTCGAGCTCCACAAAATGGCGAAGATCGCCAAGACCCACGAAGGTAAGAAACGGCCGCGGCCTTTCACGTTTGGGCCGCGGCCTTCTGGCCCGCCTCTCCTCGCCTTCCCTTTCAAACGGTCGCCAAGGCGTCGAGGAGAAAGCGCAGGGTGTGTGAGGAGAGAGACTCCGGGGGCGGGTGAAGCGCCTGGCTCTACGTCGGGCCTCGGGGCCTGCGCGTTAATGGCGTCGCGGAGCGATTTTTCTCCCGCTTGCCCCGCTCCTCTTCCCTCCGGCCTCCGTGTCGTCGGTGAGCTCAGTCGTGAGAAAGGCCCCAGAGGGCGGCTGGAGAAGTTGGGTGTGAGCTGGGCGTTAGGATGGGCCCGTCAGATAACCGCCATCTGTTTCTTCCCCACTCCGATGTAAGCGCGCACTCTTCCGTTGCCCGCTCACGGGATTAAAATGGAGGAATGTTTTTGTTCGTTAAACGACGAAGACATTTATTTGACAATACTGGTTGTTTATGAAACTTGCGCGACCGGAGGGAAAAAAAAAACGGGCGAGAATAAGTAGATTCGGATCGACGTGTGTTGGGACATGAGGCCCGTTTTCTCTCTCAATGTTGGGCATCCGACGAAAGGTAGCCTACTTTGGGGGTGGGGGGGGTTTCGTTGTTTAACGTAGGACGGTTAAAAGGTGCAAAAGGGGTTTACCGAAGGAAACCTGCAAGAAACAAGACATGAGGAAGAGACCTCAAGAGTAGAGGAGGAGGAGGGGTGTGGTTACGGTTTTGAACCAGGATGAAGCCACGTTTAGATTGACTAATAAACAGCACTCTTGCGGCAAAGTTTAGGATTGCTACTAGGAGTGGGATTAACTCTTAGGAAATGTATTAAGCACATTTAATAAATTAATGAAGGTTTTTTTAAGAAGAGGCTGGACAGTCAGCTGTCTGAAACGGCTTGACCCTATTCTAGTTCAGGGGGGTTGAACTAGAAGACTTCCAAGGTCCTTTCCAGTTCTATTCTGATTGATTATGATTTACCCTTAATAAATTTATTAAGCATACTCTTAATCTACCTCACTGGGTTGTTGTTATTGTTGCATTCTTGAAGATTAAAAACCTAGATCTAGCACGTTTAAGTCATATGTACTTTGACCCTTCTGCCTTTCTGAAGCAATTATAAGCAGAAGGCAAAAATGTTATTTGTTTCTGTTATTGAACCTAGATTACCAGTTTGTAATTTTCAGTGTGTGGCATACCATATTGTAGAATGTAATTTGCGAGTATTTGACATATGGTATTTACTCCACCTCTTCAATGGCTTCTGTTAAGAGAGGAACACCCTGCAGTGCTTTTTGCATTTTTCCTGCCTGGGTTATTTATTAACTTTTTATTTCAGATTGGCTTGTTCTTTTCAATAGGAAGTTCAAAATGTATCAATGCAGTTGAGTGTCTTAGGGTTTGTTTTTTTTAAAGATAATGAGAAAATGGATTTTTCACTTTAAACTGCACACATCATAAATGATTGATGAACATTGAACAGTATTAAACAGTATTAAAGATTTTAGAAATTATATAATTGGAAACAATTATAAAGATAATTGGAAAAATTAAATGAAAATTCAGTGTTCCCATTACGTACAAAAGGAGCTATTATTTATGTATGGGGAAATGATCCAAAATAATTATTTAATAATTATCTACTAATTATAGCAGTCAGTGAATGTGCCACATAATATATGTTTTAAAATTAATACCATATATATAAAACTGATCAGAAGAGATTTCATCAATTTTTCCACAAAATTTAATTTAAAAAATTAAACTGGCATGTATTTTGCATGGCATAGAATCTTCTGTAAAAGCTAGGAATGGAAAGGGAGCCAAATTTGGTGTAATTGTATTCTTTAATAAGAGATTTGAGAATTTTCCTAATAGTCTGGTGAGTCTGGAAAAATGATTGTTTGGATATAGGCTGAAAATATTCAGGGAAAGATTAAAAATTATATGACTTACCACTAATAAAGCAAAAAAGATTAGGTTTTAATAAGAAGTTGGTCTATTCGTATTGAGAGTTGGATAAAAATAACAGTTCATTGAAATGGCTGGATACCATAGCTAGATATTCATGTATTACTTGCTAGATACTATGTATTAGTTATTTAAAAGAGACAGTTATTTAAAAGAGACAGTGTATTTGCATGTCACATTAAGAAATAACTTTTAAGAGTGCCTAACTGGGATTGATCAGAATGGCAGGGTATTTTGCTCAGGTGCTTCCATTTGACTGTTGCTGTAAGCAGGATAGATTGAAAACAACTAACCAAAGTGCATTGTGATGTCTGAATTCAGACTTCTGATTTGTTCCAGTCTTATAAATCAGAATTGAAAGTCATGAACAAAGATTCTAGAATGAATTCTAAGAATTAAAGTGATGCAAGCACAGCCTTTATTTAAGAGTGGTTCTTAAGGTTCTTAATGTGTTTTTCTCACTTCAATGCACATGAGTAAAAATCCTGGCATATAATATCTTCTCTGATAAGTTAGAAGAACTTTAAGCTTTGCAAAATTATCTGTAACTTTTTTGATAATATGACCCATTATTTTTATTCTAAAAAGTAATGGGTAGCATTTTTACAAAATTGCAATATTGGTTAAGCCAGTTGTTTGGTGTGGGCAGAGTTACTTACATTTGCCAATGTTCAAGATCCCAAGCCCCACGCAAGGGGGTGAGCTCCTGTTACTTGACCCAGCTCCTGCCAACCTAGCAGTTTGAAAGTATCTAGATGCAAGTAGATACATAGGTATTACTTCAGTAGGAAGATAACAGTGTTTCGGGCATCTTAGCATATAATCATGTTGGCCACATAACCATGATTGTGTCTTCAGACAATACTGGCTCCCTCATTAGGAAACAGAATTGAGCATCATGCCTTAGAGTCAGACATGACTGGACAAGGAAATCTTTATCTTTTTTTACCTTGCCCTACTGTATTTGGTGAATGGTATGTTGGAGACTGCCCTTAAATAAGAGTTGGACATATGTGCCCTTTTTCATTTATGCACAAGAACAAATTAAAGTTTTTCTCTCTTGAAAAAATGTATTTTTGCATTATGGATGAATATGGAGCTGGAATATATTGCAATATGGTTTAAGCAAAATATGATTTGACATAGTATTGAATACACCTGGTTAAAACAAAATGCATTCCCCACATAATGTGAAACTTAAGTAGTCTCTAAAAATGCTTTAATACTTGCTTTTCCTATGCATGGAGGAGAGGGGAGCCAACAATATAAACCTTGGTTTATTAATTGTAAGCATTTAACATACAGAGTAATAGAAGGTGGATAGTCTCTGCTCTCCAACTCAAAATCTTAAAAAGGGGGTGGAAAGATTAGGAAACTTTGGGACCAGTTCCTAATATGTTGGTACTTCCAATCTCTAACAGTGCTAAAAATGCTGCTGTGGGACACGCAAAACCAATTGTCCTGCAGCACCATAGCAGAAAAATTG